GCTGCTGCTGCTGCTGCTGGGGGGAGTGCTTTTGCCGCTGGAGCGGGCGTCGGGTTGGACAGTGGGCACCCCCATGGGGCTCCCACTGGTAACAACGGAGGCACCGCTGACCCGTCAGAGAAGCCCGTCAAGCGTGACCGCATCAAGAAGATCAACGAGCTCCTTAAGGTCTACGAGGGTTCTTCCGTGGCCTCTGACTTTGTGCAGGTCAAGTCCTTCACCGAAGAGAAGAAGCGTTTGGGCAAGGAGCTCGACGCCGAACGCCCCTTGGAGGACCAGGTCGCCTCCCTCACCACGAGGCTGCGGAACTCCCGTGCCAAGGCCAAGCGCCTTCGCGAGGAGCACGTTCAGAAACAGCTGGTTATCGACGAGCTGGTTGCCAAGCAGACGTTGATCCAGGACTCCCTGGCCGAGGCAGACGCCGAAGTCGTGCGGCTGGAGGAGGAGGTCCAGTGTTTGGGCGCCGACCGAGCCCCTCCGCCCACGGGTGGAGAGCCAACGCTCCATGAGCTGCTGCCGAAGGTCTCGGTCAACGCCAAGCAGCTTGGTGAGTTGGCCGTGGAGCTCGGCCTGGACCCCAGCCTTCAGGCACAGCTGGAGACGGCGGCCAAAGTCTTCGGGAGGCTCCATGAGCTTCCCCAGGCGAAGCCGCCGCCGGCACAGGTGCCCGCCGCTGCCCCTGCTCCCGCGACCCCCGCTGGAGATGAAGGAGGAGGAGCTCCTGCAACCCCCGTTCTCCCTGCGAGCCAGGTGCAGGTTCTCGCCGAAGAAGCTGCCAATAACAACATGGAGATCGACATCGACCTCATGGAGTCCGCCGAGCTGCGGGAGGCGTTGGAGGCGGCAGGACTCACGCAGCCTGACGACGCCACCGACGCGGACATGCGGGTGGCGCACAAGCGCGCCCTTCACTCCTTCACACACGCGGCTACGGAGCACCAGAGGAAGAAGAAGGCTCGATCAGCCCCTTTTTGAGGGCCGCGCTTGCCAGCGCGACCACGCGGATGGCACGTGCCATGCACTGGCCATTAGATGTCAGTGCAATTCGCCAGCCTGCTATGACGGGCTGTGCGGCCATCAAGATGACAGGAAGTCCCATGGACGGAATGTCAGCTGTGGCCTCCCGCGCCATGACAGCACGTACCATGTGCGTGCTGTCTGCTGGGGTTTTCCTGGCAGGAAGCACCATGTACGAAAGGCCAGTGGATGCGCGGGGCGCCCGCAGGACAGCGCGCACTGGGTGCGCGCTATTGCCAGGGTGGGTCCTGGTGTTCCGGCGGCCCTGGCGGCGGCCCCGGAGGCGGCCCCGGGCGCCTCCAAACTTGGGGTCCCGGGCTGTCCCCCGAGACCCTTTCCAGGGGACAGCCCGGGGGTCCCCCTCCCCCGCCCTGGCGGCGGCCGCGGCGGCCCCGGCGGCGGCCCCGGAGGCGCCCCCAGGCGCCTCCAAACTTGGGGTCCCGGGCTGTCCCCCGAGGCCCCTTCCGAGGGACAGCCCGGGGGGGCTCGCCTTGGGGCCCTCTTGGGGCCCCCTTGGAGGCTTGGGGGGGGGGCCCGGGCCTCGCTGGCGGGTGGCCCAGACGCCGCCAGGCAAATGCTGCCCGCGGGGGTCCGCCTCCACTTGGCCAAGAGAACAGTGCGTCACCCACCAGAGGCAACTACTGCTCCAGCCCTGCTTGCCAGCGCGACCACGCGGATGGCGCGTGCCATGCGCAGGCCATTAGATGTCAGTGTAATGCACCAGCCTGTTATACGGGCTGCGCGGCCATCAAGATGACAGGAAGTCCCTTGGGCGGAATGTCAGCTGTGGCCTCCCGCGCACTGACAGCACGTGCCATGCACGGGCTGTCTGCTGGGGTTTTCCTGGCAGGAAGTACCGCGCGCGGAAGGCCAGTGGTCGCGAGGGGGAGGGGCGCCCGCGGGACAGCGCGTACTATGTACGCGCTGCTGCCAGGGTGGGTCCTGGTGTCATAGGTCCGCCTCCACTTGGCGTAGAGAACGGTATGTCTCCCACCAGAGGCAACTACTGCTCCAGCCCTTCGCCGTCGACCTGCACGCCAGCCCACTCGTCCTCGCCGTGTGTGGCTCGCCCTCGAGGATGGACCTTTATGCTGCTCTGGTGCCAGCTCATGACCCAGTTCGAGGTGGGTTCTGCAGGAGCCCCCGACAGTGGTGGGAAGACCACGTCGGTGGCTGACCATTCCGCGGGCTTGCTCCGCAACTGGCGGAAAGGACCGCCTCGGTACCGAGCTGGTGGCAGCGACAGAGGCGCGCCTGAGGGTCACGATCCCTTGGCGCAGGGTCCCAGCACGGCCGTGCCTGATGCTGGCGACGAGCACGTCAGGTGGCGGCAAAGCTGGTCACCGTTAACCCTGGCTCTCACGGGCCACTGCTCAACTTCTTGCCGTATTTTTTCGGCAAGGTAGTGATGGTCCAGGAGACGCGGGTGGTCGACCAGCAGCTCGGGGCTGTTCAATCTGCTGTGCGCGATGCAGGTTGGCACGGCCTCTGGGCCCCTGCCGAGGAGACAGGAGTCCAGTGGGGCCTGCGTGCTCGCGCCTACAAACGTGATGGTCGCGATCCCCCCGGATGGGGGTCATGTCGTTTTCCCCCATCATGCTGTTGCAGCTCATGTCCACGGGCGTCCCTGGTGGTCTCCTTGTCGTCAGCGTTCACATGGCTCAGGGCGTCGGCGTCACTGGGGCCAACCTCTCGATCCTATGGGCGCTTGCGAAGCGCGTGGCGGCGTGGAACGCGCGCGGCCTCGTCTGGATCATCGGGGGTGACTGGAATGCCGACGGCCAGAGCATCAACGTCGGCGACTGGGTTGGGTCTTTGGCTGGCACTCTCCTCCAGCCGTCGGCCCCTACGCGCGTCGCCTCCAATGGGGTGTCCACCATCGACTACTTCTTGGTGGCTAGCAATATCGCGTCCCGTGTCTCTCGCCAGCCTGAGGTGATACATGGGTGCGGGAGCATTCCCAGACCTGTTCGGGAAGGGCGCGCCGACGCGGTGCCGCGTCCCCGATGAGCCTCGACCACTGCCTGCCGTGCCCCTTGTTGGCTGTGCTCGTTTCCCTTTTCCTTGGCGCAGGTTGGATGGCCTGTTTACGCGGGCAGCCTCTGCGCCGCAAAGAGCCACTGGCGCGGGCCATGTCCAGTCCAGGCCCGATCGGGACCGATGCAGGTCCGTCGATAACTTGGCCTACTCGGCAAAACTACGCGCGATCGGTCGGGGCGCGCGGGCCAACGTTACCGCCGTCGGACCTGGGCCCATGGCCATGCCGTCGGCGAGGTCGGTACACCAGATGATGTCTTGCAGCAGCTCTGGGACTCCGCGCGGCAGGGCATTGACCGCGAGGTCGCTGGCAGGCACGACAAAGTTGGCCCTGGAGCCAACCGCTTCGTCGGGCACCGCGGCCCCCCCCCCAAGGTGAAGCGGCGGCAGTTGCGGTGGGGGCCACCTCGCAAGCGCCTGTGCCACGACACCGCTGTCTTGGCTTGGGCTACCGCGGCACGCTGGGCGACTCACCTTCGTGCCGAGCGTGATCGGGTCCAGCGGTTTTGTCACCGGTTGAATGCGGTGGCGATGTGCGCGTCTCCAGCGCCCAGGAAGCTGCAGAAGACTGCCAGTGTCTTCTACGACATCCTCTGCTTCCTGAGCCCCATCGTCGGGCAGGATAAAGTCCTCACCAATATCGACCCCTGCTACCGCCAGTTCTTCCTGCGCGGGCTGGACGGGCTGATTGCGGAGGACTTTGCATGGTAGATGCCATCGTGGGCCACGCGGGGGCCCTCACTGCCGCGGCTCGCGGCGCGTCGGAGAAAGCCTGGCGCAGCTGTGCTCAGGCGGCCTTCAATGGGGGAGCGAAGGTCGCCCATGCTGCATCAAAGGTCAGGGCGCAGCAAGAACTTGTTGCCCCTGGGGCCGATGCCCAGCCATGCGTCCTCGCGGGCCGCACCATGTGCGAGTGGAAGCGGATCTTGGCGACCCGTGGGCTGGAAGCGCTGCCCCTACCCACGGATGCACATGCTTGGGAGGGGCTTCCTAGCCTGACGGTCCATGACCTTCGGCAGGCCATCCGTTCGTTCTCTCTCGCCACCTCGGGGCCCACCCGCATTCCACCGAAGGCTCTTGAGCACTTATCAGATGAGGCTCTCAGGAGGTTGGCCCAGATGTTCGACGTTTTTGAGCAGCACGTGCGGTTCCCCTATGACCGCCTGCATCGTGAGATGGTTCGTCTCCCTAAGCCAGATGGTGGCCACAGGTTGATTGTGCTTAGCCATGCTCTCATACGAGTCTGGGCGAAGGCACGCCGATGGCTGTCGGCAGAGTGGCAACGACTTCACAACTGCGACGAGATGTGGGGTACTCGAGGCAGTCACACTTCCACGGCCTCGGCCTTCGCTCACAGCCCGGAGCAAGAGGTGGGAAGTCTCATGGGCGAACACACATGCACCATCCTCCTTGACATGGTGAAATGCTTTGACATAGTGAGCCCCCATGCGCTCATGCGGGAGGCACGGGAGCTGGGTTACCTGATACGCCTGCTATGGATGTTGATGCAGCTCTACCAGCAGCCACGGCGCATCAAGGCGTGCAGTAGCCTCTCGTGCTCCTTCGTCGCCTTTCAGGTGGTGCTGGCGGGGTGCACACATGCCACCTACCTCATCTATTCGCTGACGTGCCGTGTCTCCAGCGGGCCAACAGGGTGGCGCCGGCCATCAAGCCACGCTCGCTGGTGGACGATATCGGCCTGCAGATGGTCTCCCCCGGACCTCCGTGATGTGAAGCTGCTGCGGCGCACTGCGATGGTGCTCACTGCAGAGGCCAGGGGCCTCGGGCTAATTCTCCAACCTGCTAAGTCTGCGGTGGTGGCTGGGTCAGCGCATGTCCGCCTCGTGGTGCGTAGAGTCCAGCGGCGGATTCCTCGGGCGGTGCCCCAAGCCCAGCATATGCGCAACCTTGGCCATGAGCTGCATGGCCCTCGGGTGCTAAGGAAGGTTGAAAAGAAGCGCATGAAGGCCGTGCGGGAGCGCAAGCACCGACTCCTCATGCTGCGTCGCGCGGTGAGACGCAAGGCCTCCACCCTGTGGCGGACTGGGCTCATGCCGTCTGCAAGGCACGGGGCTGGAGTGTCGGGGTTGGCGGACGCGCCCCTACGCGAGATGCGCAGCTTGGCTGCGGTACTTAACGGGCGCAGTAACAAACGCCATGTGGGTGTCACGGCATACCTCCTTACTCACCCTTCGGAGGAATACGATCCCGTCTACCATGCCACGCTGGACTTGGTCTTGAACTACGCCGCCTGGGTTTGGGATGGGCGCACGTCACCCAGCCGCCTTCAAAGGGCCTGGACAGCGCTCCATGAGCGGGCTGTCCCAATCAGTTGGGCCGATGCCAAAGGTCCCCTGGCCGCGACGTGGCTGACGCTCAAACGGCTTGCCTGGGACATGAAAGCGCCGCACATCTTGCAGGGCGACTTGGGCAGCCAATATGACCTGCACCGCGTGCGCCCTGCTGACCTGCGACCCTTCTTGATGCAAGGCGTGCAGCGATGGCAGCATGACCGCTTCACCAGCCACATGTACGCCCACGCTGGCGCGCCTATCTGGCGCCGCGGGCTCAGGTACGCGGTCAAGGGTGTCCGCGCCGCAAGGCAGCTGGGAGCGTTGCAGGCGCTATGGTCTGACAACATACCCATGCCGATTCGCAGGGACATGAAGCTCGGCAGGCCCATGCGTCCCTGTCAGGCTTGCGGGAAGGCCCTTGCGCCCGATGAATGCTGGGGCCATGTCTTCCCGGAATGCCCCGCGTTGCTGGCCAGCCCCCCCGAAGGGGAAATGCGACCCATGGAGCAGGAGCCGACGGACCATGTCCAATGCCATGGACCATGTCCAAGGACCCGTGAAATACAGCAGGGTCCAGGCGACCTGCGCCAGCAGGATCACGACCGCCTCCTGAGTCGGGCCGACCCGACCCCACCGTCCTACACCTGCGCCCAGCACCACAGCACCATGGGGGCCGAGGACGACTTCTTTCCAGGCGTCGGACAAGGTGTTGACGAAGAGGTCGACCTTGGGCCACCTGATGGGCACGACGGCCATCAGGAGGTGGTGCGGCCAGACGCGCAGAGAGTCCTCTGCACGCCACCGGCTGCGTCGGAACGGAGTGACCTGTTGTCCCATACGGCGGCGGGTACAGCCTCGGCGCCTGGTGCATCATGCCGTGGTATCTTCCACCTCCCCCAAGTGCTGGCTGAGGTGCGCGACCAACCCATCCAAGCGGGTCTTGGATCAGGCACGCCGAATTTCGAGCAGTCCTACCTCGTCTTTGGCATGCCCGAGCCTCCCGCCTATCTGCCACGCGCAGACATGCGGGGGAATGCTGTCTGCCTCTGGGGCGACGCCCATGGCGTTTGGGGCCCCGTTTCTTACACCGACGGGTCTGGCTACGACTCGGGTGTTCCCGAGGTGCGGAGGTGTGGACAAGCTGTTGTGCAGCTTGATCCTTGTTCTTGGCTCCCAGTTAGGGCGCGGTTCGGGCCCCTCCCGTACTTGGCGCAGACTGTTGGCCGCTCTGAGAGGTACGCGATCAGGGAGGGGCTCGACGCTTTCCCTGACCACCCGTGCTTCGTCACTGATCTGCTGGCGCTCGCCCAGGAAGGAGAGCGTTGGTGCCCCGAGCTCGAGCAGCGTCGCGCCGAGCATGCTAGAGCGTGGCGGGACATATTCGTGGCCAGCCGCAGACGCACTCTGCGTGACCCTCCCAAGTTCCGATGGACGCCTGTGCACAGGTCCTTGGAGGAGCTTGTGGGCGCCGAACCGCAGGAGCTGCGTGACTGGCTTGGGAACGGCTGGGCAGACTACTTCGCGCGCTGCGGGGCGGCCTCTCACGCGCTGGCTGGGTCGGTTGCCGAGGCGGTAACTACTGCGCCGAAATAGCACCGCAAGGTCCTGCAGTTCATTTCGTGGGCGGCACTGCAGGTGATGGCTCGCAAACAATGGGGGGTGCGACGTGGAGGTCCCCGGGCCACTTTGAGCAGGCCAGGGCCATTGTGGTGGCACGTAGCACGGACCATGTCCAGGCTTACTGTGCCAGCCTCGGGCGGTGCCGGTGTACCCAATGCGGAGTCACGGCCACAACAGGCTCTTCCTTCAATTCGCTGCAAACTGGCGCTCATCGTGTTTGTCGGCCTTCGCGCGTTGCCAGCGCTCTCAGCGCCGAATTCTTCCGCGCCTTCGGCGAGGGTTGGGCCCTCTGCAACGACCAAAGGGCTGGCCTGGCCATGGGCGCGGCCTTGGCGCTCGAAGGGAGCTCGCAGCCCTCGGCTCCCGCGGCCCTGGTGCCACCTGCCCTGGCCGAGGAGGTAGGTGGCGCCTTCGCCGCGCTTGGGCACGACGTGTTCAGGGCAGCGGTGTCTATTGTTGCAGACGATGCGGTTCCCACCGTGTTGTGGGCGATGTCCGCGCAGTGAGAAAGCTTGGCTCGAGGTGCGAAGGGCTCTCGCCCAACGAGTCCACGCGCCGCAACCAGCAAGATGTGATCAGGCGAGTCCAGAAGGGACTGGCGCCTTGTGCCCGCCGCACCCCTGTGGCGCTGCTCCCGCAGGGTGGCCCCTCTCGCTGCCACGCGGCGCGATGATCGACCATGTCGTGCTTCGCTGCCGTTCCGTGGCCGGCTGGTGGCACGGCGTCTTCTTCGGCGGCGGCGTCTGCTTCGTCAGCGGCGTGTTGGCCTACGTCGACGCGCCCCTGGCCCTCTTCCTCTGCGAGCGGGTATTGTTCCGCTCTGTCTTCGACCTTGCCCTCTCCGCCATCGCGGCGTGAGGGCACCTCGCTGTCGCTCGTCGGCCGCCCCCGCGGCCGCTCGGGAGACTCGCGCGAGGCGCCGCGCTCCTCCTCCTCCTCCTCCTCCTCCTCCTCCTCCTCCTCCTCCTCTTCTCCGTCTCCTCCTCTCCCTCCTCAACCCCCCCCTCCTCCTCCTCATACCTCCTCTCCTCCTCCTCCTCTCCTCCTCCTCCTCCTCCTCCTCCATCTCCCACCTCCACCTCCACCTCCACCTACCCCCCTCCTCCTCCTCCTCATCCTCCTCCTCCTCTCAGTCTTCCCTTCCGCCCCTCCCCCCCTCCTCCTCCTCCTCCGCATCCTCCTCCACCCTCCTCCTTCTCCCTCTTTCTCCTTCTCCTTCTCCTTCTCCTCTTTCGTCCTCCTCCTTCTCGTCTCCTCCTACTCCTAGCCTCGTTTCCCCCCCCCCCTCCTCCTCCTCCTCCTCCCTCCTCCTCCCCTCTCCTCACGCCTCCTCGCCCCGCCTCCTCCTCCTCCTCCTCCTCCTCCTCCTCCACCTCCTACCTCCTTCTCCTTCTCCTCCCCCCTCCGTCCTCCACCCCTCCTCCTCCTCCTCCTCCTTCCCTTTCCTTATCCCCCCCTCCTCCGTCCTCGCCCCCCTCCTCATCCTCCTTCCCGTCCCCCTCCTCCTCCCTCCTCCTTCTCCTCCTTTTCTTCCTGGCCTCCTCCTCCTTTACTCCTGGCCATCCTCCGCCGTTTCCTCTTCCTTTTTCCTCTCCTTTATTCCTCCTCTCCTCCTCCTGCTCCTCTCCTGTTCCTCTTACCTCTTCATCGCTCCTCTTCCTCCTCCTCCTACTCCTCTTCCTGCCTCTCCCCCTCTTTTTCCTCATTCTTTCGTAGTCTTTCCTGTTCTCTCCTTGTCCTCTCCAACTCTCGCTTCTCCCCCCCCCCCCATCCCACATTCTCCTCCTCCTCTTCCTCCTCATCCTCCTCCTCCTCCACCTCCTCCTCTCCTCCTCCTCACCCCCCACCCTCCTCCCTCCCTTCCTCCTCCTCCCTTCCTCCTCCTCCTCCTCCTCCTCCTCCTCCTCCTCCTCCTCCTCCTCCTGGGCAAGATACTGCGCGCAACTGGCCCAGCCACGTGCGACCCGTAATGCAGCAACTCACGCATTCCAACGTGACCTGGGACGAGCCACGCACGTGCAACACAGCATTATCGCCAATATGCCCGCATCTATCCTTCCCCAGCCTGTCCCAAATCTTGACCGCCCAAGCGGCCTCTTGGGCCGACATGGCCGGACAAGCCTGCGGATATGATCGGAACACATGGCCTGACAAGCGTTGCAACGCACAAGGACACCTCGATCTGACAAGGTAAACCTGGCAAGAGAGTGCGGCCTGAACCATTCCCGCTGGAAGCCATTGGATAATTCAACCGCGTGCATGGGGATCCTTCTCTTCCTCCTCCTTCTCCTCATCAGTTATTTTTTTCCTTACGAATGAGTCCTTCCTGTCGCGCCCCGAGGCCTGTCGGAAAGGGCGGCCTGGGCCTTTCGCTTGACGCTGACAACAGTTTCACATATTGAGGGCGGGCCGCTTCCAGACTGTGGCTCTCGTTTTAGAGCCGCGCGCGCTCGCTGTAAGCATGTGCTACAGCTTCGCGGATTGAGGGCGGGCCGTTTTTAACATGTGACTCTCGCCTTAGCACCAGGCACATTGGTTTTGAAAGTTTGCTAGAGCTTCACGGATCGAAGGTGGGCCGTTTTCAATATGTGGCTCTCGCATTCGCATCGCGCCTACTCGTTTTTACAAGTTTGCAAGGACGTCCTGGATTGAGGGCGTTTCCCTTTCTAATTGCGGTTGTCGCCTTAGCGCCGCGCACATTCGTTTCAAAAGGTTACAAGAGTTTCACGCATTGAGGGCGGGTCCTTTTCAGCATGCGGTTGTTGCATTAGCGCCGCGTGAATTTGCTTTTCAACGATTTGAAATCAGTTCATTCATTCTCATGGTTAACGCAGCCGTTGTGTAACGATTCGCGACTGTCAGGGCGCAGCAGTTACGTGTATTCGCGGCGTTGGGGTCCCAGGAATGGTGTTCTGGCACGATTCAGCGTCAAGGCGCAACAGCTAGGTCATTTTGTGGCGTTGAAGTCCGTACGCCCCAAGGTTTTCACACAGTTGTCCCGCAACGGGGCACCATCCCCCAGTTGAAATTTGCCCATGCGTGGATCTATGAAGAGGGAGCTTGGAGGGAGGGTGTTTTCCAACACCGCTGATGAGTCTTGGGTTTACACGGGTCCTCCTCCTCACTTTCCTGCTCCCCCCTTCCCCTCCTCTCCGCTTCTCCCAGTCCCTGGGGCCCGCTTTTCATCTCGAACCGTTTTTGGCGAATCCGGGACCCAGCGAGGGCCCCAGGACGCAGACGATGCTCAAACACAACACGCCGTGACTTTTTCCACGACGTGAGCATGTCTGGGCTTCCTCGTCCTCCCACGCGCGAGCATTTGCCCATGGCCCGCGTCGGCCAGGAGACGGGAACAGGAGGAGGAGGAGGAGGAAGAGGAGGAGGAGGACAGGGGAGGAGGAGAGCAGGAGGACTAAGAGCAGGAAGAGGAGGAGGAGGAGGAAGAGGAGGAGGAGGAGGAGGAGGAGGAGGAGACGAGGGGAAAACGAAGGACAGGGGGAGGAGGAAGAGGGGGCTGGAGGAGGGAGGAGGAGGAGGAGGACGGAGGAGGAGAGGGAGGAGGTAGTCGGAGGAGGAGGAGGAGAGGAGGAGGAGGAGGAGGCGGAGGAGGAGGAGGAGGCGGAAGGAGGAGAGGAGGAGGCGGAGGAGGAGAGGAGAGCGCGGGTGGAGGAGGAGGAGGAGGAGGAGGAGAGAGGAGGAGGAGGGGAGGGAGGAGGAGGAGGAGGAGGAGGCGGAGGAGGAGGAGGAAGGAGGGGTGGAGAGGAGGAGGAGGAGAGAGTGAGGAGGAGGAGTAGGAGAGGAGGAGGGGGGAAAAGGAGGAAGGAGAGGAGGAGGTGGAGGAGGGGAAAAACGAAGGACAGCGGGAGGGGGGGGGAGGGGGAGGAGGAGGCGGAGGAAGGAGGAGGAGGAGGAGGAGGAGGGCGGAGGGGAGGAAGGAGGAGGAGGGAGAGGAGGTGGAGGAGGAGAGGAGGAGGAGGAGGGGAGAGGACGGAGTAGGAGGAGGAGGAGGAGGAGGAGGAGGAGGAGGAGGACGAGGAGGGGGGGGAAAGTGGAGCAGGAGGAGGAGGAGGAGGAGGAGGAGGAGGAGGGGAGGCAGGAGGAGGAGGAGGAGGAGGAGGAGGAGGACGAGGTGGGGGGAAGTGGAGCAGGAGGAGGAGGGAGGAGGGAGGAGGAGGAGGAGGTGGAGGAGGAGGAGGTGGAAGCCACTGCCTCCCCTCCGCTTCTCCCCCCCCTTGCAGGCCTTCCAGATGGCGGCGGAGGCGTTCCCTGGCCTGGGGGGCTCGTCGGCCTCCTCGGGGCCTGCCGCGAAGTGGGGCGCGCAGGGCAAGGGCGGCGCTGCGCCCGGCAGGGTCGCCGACGGCTGGTCCGAGGCGCCGCGCGCGCCCGCCCTCGAAGCCCAGGCGCCCTCGAGCCACGACAAAAAACCCAGGCGCCCTCGAGGCCTCGAAACCCAGGCGCCCTCGAGCCTCGAAACCCAGGCGCCCTCGAGCCCTCGAAACCCAGGCGCCCTCGAGCCCTCGAAACCCAGGAGCCCTCGAAACCCAGGCGCCCTCGAGAAATCACGACGAACGTTTTTTCTGTATGTTCGGCCTCTCGGGGCCCGTGCGGGGCATCGGTTGCGTCAAACGGCGGCTCAGGATGAAAACCTGTCTCAGGAGAGCGGCTCGAGACCTCTGGGGGCCGACGCGACGACACAAATTACATGACGTGCGGGGTCCGGGGAGAACCTGGCCTTCGAGAAAAAGACGAGGAGGAGGAGCAGGAGGAGGTGGAGCAGGAGGAGGAGGAGCGCGTGCAGCTGGGCACCGGGCAAGAGGCGAAGCGAGCAGGGGTTCTGCGCTCCTCGCCCGTCGCCCCGACCTGCTCCCCCGGCCACTCCTCCTGCCGCTCCTCCCCGGCCGGCCGCGGCGGCTCTTCGTGGGCGGAAGACAGATCCGCATCCGCGGCCTCGCAGTCCGGGCTCTGGGCCGCCCCCCCGCGGACACCCAGACCCCCTCGCGCGGTGAAGAAGTCACGACGGGGAGTTTTTGTCCCTATGTTCGGCCTCCGGGGGCTCCCACCAGGCCGCGGGACCGTCAAACAACGACCCGGGATGAACATCCGGTCCTGGGGAAAGGGTCCAGACCTCTGGGGGTCGGCACTGTGACAACTTCACGACGTCGGGGGTCTGGGTGCGGGGTGTTTTCTCGCGGATGCCCCGCGCGGAACGTAGCCGCGCGACCGCGTATCCGCGGGACTCGCGCGCTGGAATCCAGGCCGCGAGATGGTGCGCGGATGCGGGGCTGCGGGCTGCGCACAGGCAGCCCCCGCCAGGAAGTCCCAGCGGGCTTCAGCAGGCCCTCCGAGTGGTCCTGGGCGGGGTCAACACCCGAACCCCTGGGGCGCGCCGCGCCCCAGGGGCGCCGCCAGAGTCGGCGACAGGGCCCCAGACTACTCAGGGGGCCTTTCGAGGCCAACTGGCACCATACAGGGGCCTGTTGAGGTCAGCCGGGACTACCTTGGGGGACTGTCTGTGCGCAGCCCGAAGCCTTACCATTCGAGTAGGAGATCGACTACAGAATGGATGTGCCCCAGAATTGATCTTCTCGCCGAATCGAGGAACAGGTACGCAGAAAGCTCGTAGATCTACAGAACAACCTTCGCGTTTTCCGTAGATTCGACTGAACCATCAATGTTGGTAGATCAACTCTGTAGTCGATATCCTATTCGAACCATCGTAATCTCTCGCTGCCTCGGCCGAAGGTGGGCCCGGCGCAGCTCCAAGAAGTCCGCGCGGAGTTCCGAACTTTACCTGTGTTTGTGCCGCGTGTTCTGCTGAGGGGCTAGTTCTCCACCACCACTACCATTGGCAGGACGGGTGCGAATGGAGGACGGGAAGGTCCTCCTCCTCCTTCTGCTCCTCCTCCTGCTCCTCCTGCTCCTCCTCCTCCTCCTCCTCCTCCTCCTCCTCCTCCTGCTCTTCCTCCTCCTCCTCCTTTTCCTCCTCCTCCTTTTCCTCCTCCTCCTCCTCCTCCTGCTCCTCCTGCTCCTCCTGCTCCTCCTGCTCCTCCTGCACCTCCTCCTCCTCCTCCTCGTCCTCCTCCTCCTCCTCCTCCTCCTCCTTATGGTAGTCGATCTCTCGCCTGCCTCGGCCGATCTCCAGTCACCGACGGCGGCCTCCGCCTCGGCGGAGGAGGTGGCGTCGCGTCACGCGGCGGGCACGCACCTGGGCGCGCCGCGTGACGCGCCGCCACTTCCTCCGGGTGCCGCCGCGCGCCCCCCTGGGGTCGAATGTGATGGGCCGATTTTTTCCCACCGTCACTCCCATGGGGAGGAGGAGGAGGAGGAGGAGGAGGAGGAGGAGGAGGAGGAGGAGGAGGAGGAGGAGGAGGAGGAGGAGGAGGAGGACGAGGGGGGGAAGTGGAGCAGGAGGAGGAGGAGGAGGAGCAGGAGGAGGAGGAGGACCTTCCCATCCTGCCTTCGCACCCGTCCTGCCAATGGCAGTGGTGGTGGAGGACCAGCCCATCAGAAGAACACACGGCACAAACATGGGTAACGCTCGGGGTTCCGCCCGACTTAACCCGAGACCCCCCCCCCAACAAATACGCAGAATGTGCGCAGATCTACGGAGCCTTCCACGTAGTTGTCTTGGGGGATGTTCTGCGGAGCGTCCTTCCGCACCCTCCACGGAGCCTTCTACGGATCTCCGCGAACCAATCAACTTTGGGACAAATCCATTCTGCAGTCGATCCCCTACTCGAATGGTCAGTCTTCTGGCAGATGCCCAGGGCATGGTCCTTCACATTGGCGGGGGAAAAAAGCGGGGGCGTCTCTGCGCCGGCCTTGGCGCGTGAGCTGCCCGCGCAAAAGCTCGCGCGCAAGCGCCCTCGTTTCCATAGTGGCGTGCCGCGCTGGCGGCCCGCGTGAGCCGCCGCGTAAGGTCGCTGTCGGCGTAAGACCCGTTTTTGATCGTCGCCCACATGTCGGCGCCCTGGCTCCGACTGGGATGCTCCAGGATCCTCCGCTCGGACTGGTGTCTCCCCGGCAGAGGGCGATTTCCATCGCCTACACGTCCGCTGCTCGAGAACAGCTGCCATGCCCCCATAACGATCGCGCCTTCCCACCCCACGTGGTGTCCATGCACGCCGGTCGTTCAAAGTAGATATTTCTGGATCCCCCGATCCCCGATCACAATCTACTTCAGGCGCCTTCCTACTTCACAAGTCGAGTTGTTTTTTTCTTTGCCCCTCGTCCTCAGGGAGCGGGCGGATGCCTAATACTTTCACCTACTTCGTATTTTGTTTCTACCCACTTCTTCCGACCGACGGGTAACCATTATGAACGATATCATGCTGCCTTCAATGCGACGGTGCTTTTGACTGAGCCGCGCCATCCGCGTCAGCATTGGACATGGGTGGCTTGCAGAAAACCGAATCTGTCCAACTGCAACCTTTCAGCTTGTGCTCCCTCCGTACCCCATTGAGGACTTCTTGGAGGATGCGGTGTAGCGGCCCGCTGACTTTCGTCGGCGAGCGAGGCCTTCTCAAAAGTCGTCGGTACTTCTCAGAAGCCATCGCGCCTTCTGAGAAGCTTTCTGCGTCTTCGAGGGAGATTCAGAACAAATCTCAGAAGGCCTGGGGCCTCCAGAGCCTTCTGAGAAGGCCTTCTCCTTCTCACTCCCCCCCGGGCTCGCCGCCGAGACCTGTCGTGCAAAAAAGCACACCGCTCGAGTCCAGAGCCTCGTTGTCTGGGTCTGAAGCGCTGCCACACCTGCCATCCTATCTCCGCTCCCCCTCCTCCTCCTCTTCCTCCTCCTCCTCCTCCTCCTCCTCCTCTATCCTCCTCCTCCTCCTTTTCCTCCTCTCTTCCTCCTTCATCCTCCTCCTCCTCCTCCTGCTCCTCCTCCTCCTCCTTCTCCTTCTCCTTCTCCTTCTCCTTCTCCCCCTCCTCTCCCTTTTCCTCCTCCTCCGACTCCTCCTTTGTGACGTATCCAGACATGAAGAGCGAGCTTGTCGCGTCGAAGGTAAAGCAGTAAGACACGTGAATGCAGACTAAGCGGGGCAGGAGGTGCGCGGAGGCACGGAACAGTGGAGAAGCCCGAGAGGGCGTAAAGTATTAGCTCTGCAGGCGTCAGCGAGGTACTTCCCTCCTACGGAATCACGACGTCGCCCCACATACCCCTGAACCTTCCCATGGCAAGGGCCCTCGTCGAGGGAGGAGGAGGAGGAAGGTGCGTGCACCCCCTGAGTGCAGCTGCACCGACAGAAGCAGCGAAGCTGAAGCTGTCCCGACTGGATCGATGCTCATCCTGATCATCCTGATCTGCCTCCATCAATCCCCTCCGTCCGTCGCACCGATAGGAACAACGAAGTTAAGCATTGCATGCATTGTTAGGCTGGAACCGTTTGCACAGACTGCCCTGATTGGCACCATGTGTGGCGCAGCTGTCTTACCGGATCCATGCCAAAATGGTACATTACGGCTTATGTGCAGGCAGGTTGGCGCGGCAGAGCCAGAAATCAGGTGATACTTTTCCCGCCCACGCCGAATAATTAAAGATGTACTTCCATCCAACTATCCGATCCCACACGTGGCCAGGGCCCTCACCGAGGGCAGTTCTCAGTCTTAACCCTCACCGAGGGTAGCTGGGAGTCCAACATTCGCGGCCTAAGCTTGCGAGATTGCCATCCTCAGCATCAATCCTGAAACATATAACCTATTATGCGATTTTCCTCACCGAGGGTTAGACTAGCTGCGACCCGCTGTCGCACTCCGAGTGCAATGCCGTCGCAATGACGAATGCCGCCTATCCCCCCTTCCCCAACCATACCCCGTCTCATTCATACTTCATATCTCCACCGCTACGCTTAGCGTACCATGTCTGGTGGCAGAGAGGAACGGCCTCCCATGCACGTGAATCAACTGAGAGGTGCCGCCTCCATAGTCTGTCTCGGTGGCCACGTGCCTCACGTGCCAGAAACATGGGGGCGGAGCCAACCGAGGAGCGGGGCTACATTCAGCCTCTGATCGTCTCACTCCGAGTGCAACGCAGTAAGAATAATGCAGCGCGCGACGACTGCTGAGCTGTCCTCTGGATTCCCCACCGCTAACCCACAGCTCCATAATCTCCCGCCTGCGTCTCGGGTACCACGACTGGTGGCAGAAAGAAACGGCCTCCCACTCACGCAATCAGCTGAGAGATGCCGACTCCATACTTTGTCTTGGTGGCCACGTGCCTCGCGTGCCCACCACCACGGCCAGGAACGTGGAGGCGGGGGGGACCGAAGAGCGGGGCTACACTCGGCCGCTGTTCGTCTGAGGCACCGCTGCGCTCGAGCATGCGCCGCGACGACAAGGTGAGCGGCCCACTGCAGATTGCAGAGGGAGCACCGAGCGCTCGCAACGACTGCCTTCTGTTCAACCACTACCTTCTCATCCTGACCTGCCTCCATTGATCCTCTCCGTCCGTCGCACCGATAGAAACAACGAAGTTAAGCACTGTATGCATTGTTAGGCTGGCACTGTTTTGTACAACCTGGCCTGTTTGGCACCATGCGTGGCGCAGCTGTCTTATTGGATCGATGCTTAGCTGGAACACGACTGCCTATGTGCAGGCAGGTTGGCGTGGCAGAGTTAGACATCAGGTGATACCCTCCCCCTCCCAACTCATGATCCCCTCTTCCATACCATCCCCTCTACACCTCGGGAGAAACGGCTTCCCATGCACGCAAATCAATTGAGAGATGCCGACTCCATGATAATTTGCCTCAGTGGCCACGTCGTATGCCCACCGCTACGGCCAGGAATATGGAAACGGAGCGGACCGATGAGCGGGGCTGCACTCGGCCGCTGTTCGTGTCGCGCGCCGCTGCGCTTGAACATGCACTGCAACATCAAGGTGATCGGCTCACAGCGCGTTGCATAGAAAGCAACCAGGCACTCGCAGTGAATGCCGTCTCCGCCTCCACTCCTCCTCATCTCATCACCTCCTCTCCGCCTCCTCCATACGAGCTCCAGTCCATGTCTCCGGCATCAATACTGATAGCTGAAAGAAGCGGCCTCTCATGCATGTCTGTCCCTGGCGCCGCTGCGTTGGAACGTGCACCACAACATCAAGGCGCCGGGTCCACAACGAGTTGTAGAGGAAGCAACCGACCGCTCGCAGCTAATGCCGTCTACTCCCCCTTCCCCATCCAACCTCTTCCATACCCCCCCTCCTATACCTCGGGCACCACGACTAGTTGAAAACATCAGGAGGTCGCACGTCTTGGCTCGCATCTTTTTCCGTCGCTCTCCCCCCGCGTCGCCCCCCCTGCCCTTCCGTGCCGTTGCCGCGTCCTTGCCCCTTGCCCCTCCTCTTCCCCTCCCCAGTGCCCCCCGTCTTCCCCTCTTCGCCTCGCTCCTCTTCCCTCCCCGGTCTCCATCTCTCTCCCTCCACCCCGGCCGCTGCTAGTGCTGCTGCTCGTTCGCCTCCTCCCTCCACCTTTCGCGCCCATGCGCCTCCGCCCATGCCTCTGCCTCTGCCTTCCTCCTTTCTGTGCGCTGGGCAAGCTCCAGGAGCACAGCCTGTAGCGGTCGTGAGGAGAACGAGTGAACGCCGACTTGGGCCACGAGGCCGTCAAATCACGCCTGGCGGGCGCGGTAAAGAGCAGGAGAGGCTCATGGGGGCAAAGGAAACGAAAGCGGGCCCGCAAGGACAGAGCATACGCAAGCTTAGCCGCGAGGGAGTGAGAGAGAAGATCGAATCGCGAAGCTGAGTCATAATAGCGAGGGGGAATCCGAATGAGAGGGATCGAACTACGCGTGCACAGTAAACTGAGGTGGTAACGTCAGCTGGTTTGTCAACTGTTCGTCCCAGATCCCAGTGGGCATCAGGCTCACGGGTAAGCTAAGCCGCTGCTCCTCCACCATACCATCCCAATCCGCCCACCACCAAAGTATATAGTCAAGGTTTGCTGGCAACATGGAAGGTGACAGGCAACTAGTAGGCGACATGCGACTGCAGCGGTGAAATTCTGAAATTCTTCTAGGTAAGCCAAGGTTGGAACAGAGTACTAAACTGGGGTATTGGCTGTACGGCATCAAAAACGTGTGATAGGGCGACGGCGTAATATCTAAACGATTACAAGCAAGGCGGGCCTTTGTAGACTGGCCTGTGTTGGTCGACTGAGTATGCCTGCATCTTCTACAATAATTTATCAAGTGATCGAGGCTAGCACAGTGCCTTCCTCCTCCTCCTCCTCCTCCTCCTCCTCCTCCTCCTATTACTCTTCTTCTTCTTCCTCCTCCTCCTCCTGCCCCTCCTCCCGCTCCTCCTTCTCCTCCTCCTCCTCCTCCTCCTCCTCCCTTTCCCCTCCCCCGCTTATGTCACCACGTGCCCGTGGAGCGGATGCAAGGAGGGGGGGTGTCGGGCTGGGAAAAGGCCGCCGAGCGTGTCCAGGAGACCGAGCCGCTGCAGGCGGC